CTGTAAAAATTATATTTTTGTATTTATTTAGCTTAAGTTTACGATTGAAAAATATCGTTATCATTGAGGTGATATTATCGTTGAGGTGATAGGCCCGTGCGGAGCACGGGCAATTTCATTGAAATTCTGCTACAGCAGCCGTTGGGCCCGAGTAGTAATCACAGTCTGTAATCTCGTCAAATCAGATCGACGCTTCATGCAATACAAAGGCAAGTAGCGTGCATGCGATATAATTGTGTGGATTGAGAACTTGCTTTAGCATGCTTTCCTACCATTTCAGTCACGGTGGCTCTATTTACAACTGGAGCCTTTCAAACATCTACTCACATCGTGTGTCTTTGCTGTTAGCTCAGCAGTAGTTGTAACAGCCACTTTACCAAGTGACAACCCCGCCCGGAGACGTTGAAAGGAATTCCCATAGTAGGTCAGAAACAACTACGCTTGCACTAGGACATCCAAAAAAACCACCATGATCACCAGCAACAAGTACCCTGGTCTAGAAGTTGCCGTTCATGTTAACGACCGGCCAATACAGGAGTACGATGATGATGATGACGAGAACCCTCCATCAAACACCGTTACAAAATACATCGAAGCTAAATCAGGAGCTGGATTTGCTGTGATAACCACCTTCAAGCCGCCCTTCTCTCCACCTCATGGAGTCATGATAAGTCTTATTGTCGACGGTAGTCCAGTGACTTCCCGGTGTTGCCGACAAGACGAGCTCTTCGGTCGCGTATTTAATATGCATGCTGTTCATCGGAAGATTGATGGGGAATGGGTGATGCAGAAGCTTCACTTCTCAGAGATTGACATTGGTATTTATGTCAAAAGCCATTTCATCGATATCTACTCAAAATCTTACAGTGAAAGAAGCACATGCGGTAGCACCGAATTCCACAGATGTCAAGCATGCTCTAATTAGCAAAGGACAGATTACACTCTTGCTTCACTTTGTAAAGGATATCAAAGAGATAGGGTCGGATGAGTACTGGGAAAGAAATGTCGAACTCACACCACTTGATGAGATTCCAGAGAAAGCGCTGAAAGGAAATGCGCTCTCACACCAAGCAGCGTATGTATGGTAATATGGCAATAGTTCTGTGGAAAGCTAACCAGACACAAAGCCTGACCACCCCAGAAAGTTCTCAGAGCCGATCCGGACAGAAACTCAGAGTGTATAGTCTCGCAGAGAAAGAGCCATTCGCAATATTTCATTTCAAATACAGATCTCTTGGTCAGTACCGTCCGTTTCAATACACACACGTACTGACATACACGCCTCAAGCGAGCCTAAAGGCCCTGGGAATAGTGCCCAGAGATGAAGCCATGACGGTTCCGCTAGAGGACAGACCAGAAGAAGAACTCACTCCAGACGAGCTGAGAGAACTAGTTCGCCGCATGAGACAAGTATGTATACTGGGTTTTCTGTGAACAAAATTACTGAGCTAGCGACAGCGAGAAATGCAAAGCAATCTCATCAAGAAAGAGACAACAAACAGAGGCTCGATCGAGCATGAACAGATCACCGACGATGACGAGGCCTCTGCAGCTTAATGGCACATCCACAAGCGTCCACGAGTTGATCCAGAAGTCGTTACGATTGATTGATGCGGTTCTGGTCAGCTCGGTACGGAACATGATTGCCCACCCTGCTGCGCGGAGCTCTGAGTACGAAAATCGACACGCAAAAGATGCTAAAATGACGATGCTCCCACCAACATGCTTTTGAATGCGGAATCTGTCGGGCTGATCAGCTGTGTGTTTGACACATTGGACTGTAAAGCCACCTGTACGAAACCTTAGTGCACGCGGCGACCAAGACACTCTTCAACAGGGTGTGTCTAAAACATCTTGCTGATCTGGACTTGTGAGTAGGGAACGGTGACGGCGATATTCAAGTGATTGCATTTCGGTGATTTACCAATTAATATGGACTTTTACCTTCTAAAGAGTCCTAGGATAGCACAGCAGACAGCTGTCTCATATTATGGCTTCGTATCCACTCTTTTTCCTTACCTCAATTTCTCTTCCGCCCATGTGATCTTCAGTCTCAGACCAAATATGATGATTCTTCATTGTTGTCCTAACTGAAGGCTCACCTTCTCATCTATTCTCGATAAGACTCACTGTCTAAGAAACTATTGAGGTAAGTAAAGATGAGGAAATCGTAGCAATGTTATTGCAGACCAAGGATGAAATAATTTCTACTTACTATGGCCAAGCTAGGTGTTGAAGTAAGTGAAAAGTAAACGAAAGTCTTGTTTAATCATGAGAGAAACTGGCTATCCCGAAAAACTTTATTCTCATACACCAAATACCTCGTACCACACATTCACCTCAACTTCTACCACCGCGGCGCCGTCGCAGTAGGCAAAGCATACGTCTCACTCCACGTAGCTGTATACTTTGAGCTCCCCACAATAGTCTGACTCCTCGCGTCCACATACGTCGCGCTCGTCACCACGCTATTAGTCCCAATCCACGTGCTCCACGGGGTCGCCGTCGCAACACCCTTGATGGGGCCCAGCGCAACGGCCGTCGTCTCCGGCCACGCACCCGACCACACCGTCGGACCTGGGATAACGTAGTCAGTGGGACAGGGGGCAACGGACCCCGTTGGTTTCTTAGTTTCAGTCGAGCAGTAAATCTAACGCGTACATCAGTATACACAACGATGTCACCAACACAGTCAGCTACTAGAAAGGGAAAAGAGCCAGTAAGACGAACATTGTGTACAACTCCCGGATCCTCATACGAATACGCCCCCGGAAACCCGACTCCCTCGGGCAACTCAACCTCACCACCCCCCACAACCTCAATCTGCACACAATCCGGATAAAACTGCGCTCCTCTCCGCGGATTCTGCGCAAAACTCACGTCGCCCTCATGCAAGCCGATCATCTCAGCGCGGATAAGATACGGTCCTGTCTTTAGGCCCGCAGGAACACGCACATTCATGCGTCCGTAGTTGGCCCTGATATCCGCCGTGGTACTCCATTTACCAGGCTGCGGGAAAGGATTACTTTGGATTTTGCCGGCATGCCAGAGTTTGACAAAGGACGAGTTTGTCGGGGGGTCTGGCGAGATGTAGATGAGCGAGGGGCCGTGGTGCGAGTATGCGATTACTTCGTCGGTGGTGTTGCGGAGTTCGTGGTGCCAGTCGAAAGTTAGGTTGTCTCCCGGAGATACTTTGATGGTGTCGTGGGCTTGGATGTCGCCCAGGACGTTGCAGCGCATGTCGATGGAGGAGAGGTCCTTGACGGGGGAGTTGTTGTAGCCGCCTTTGCCGTTTTGCCCATTGTATCCCGGTATTCGGATGCCGGTGAAGGTGCCTTGGTCGACGCCGTTGACGAAGACGCCCTGTGAGTGGGTTAGTAGGGGAGTGGTTTAGATGAGGGATTCTAGTGTACCCAGATGAATGTGTGGGCGTATGCTTGGCTTGCGAGGAGCGGGAGGATGAGGGCGTAGTTAGGTGCCATTGTGACGGCGAGGACAAGGAAACTCGAAGTGATGGATGTGCACAATGCGAGGTGTTTCTGAAGACTTCTATGGTACCATTTATAGCGAGGTGATTCACTGGGTGTGTATACACCTAAGGGCAGATGATGAGGCTAGTGTATTGCGTTGCAATATATCCGTTCTGTCCCATATTATTAATTTACTGCGGGTCCCTAACCCATCCACACAGGCATGCAGATAGGAAATATCGGGCGGGGAGATCGGATTCATGCCCGATTCTGCACGACATACGTACTGAATATAGGCATTCGTTTTGGTGACATGCATATGGAGAGTCGGAACCGCCCTGCGGACAGTGTATTGCCATGGTAGTACCCCGTATAGTGGGGTGCAGCCTTGCGGTTTTTTTAAGACCTATTTCAGGGCTCGCCGATTTCCTAGTTATATCAATGGATGAGGTAGAGGGGTTCAGTGAAGACATGTGAAGTTGCACGCCATAGCCTTTCACGAAAACATGGACGAGTTATCGGAGTTGTACAGACATAGAAAACAGTATTGTAGGCAGGTGGTTGTTGTCAAATGAGTAGTCCAAGTTCCTAGAGATACTGTATGTCCCTCACGCCCATCAATCTAGCATCAAATGTACTTATCAGGGTGCCTGTTCGAGTCTCAGTGTTGTAAGTAAAACGCCTGCCCTCACCAGCCGTCGGTAGGAAGACATGGCAATCGGAAAGGCAATCGGCCTTGTCTAGTAACTCCAGCAGCCAATGTGACAGTAAAAAACCATATAAATTCACAAGACGACGACGATGGTGAAGTTCGATCCACGTGCCGCAGAGCCCCAGATCGGTGTTTGCACACGCGCGATCTCTAGCCCCCGCGACTTCCCCCGCCGGTGATTGGCTCATGCCGCAACCACCGGCGCTATTTTATCAGGTCCGGCGCTGCTGACTGCACTTGACCTCCCATTTCCCTCACCCCCCAAGGCTCCTGTATAACCGCGCACATACATCACACACCTTGCAAGCAACGCCTCGAGGCGTAAAAGGCCATTCGTTTTTTAATCTTCTGCCGCAACCTTTTCTGTTTCTTATTTGCTTGGCTTTTCTGTCCAATCGTAGCGAGGTAAAATGGCGCGTGGCAACCAGCGTGACAAGGCTAGGGAGAAGAACCTCAAGGAGCAGGCCGGAAAGGTAGGGTTTTCCTTTGTCCGATACTGCTGGGAGTACGGCTAGTATGGTATTCGCAATGATGCTGACATTTTGACAGAAATCCAAGAATACGGTATGTTTATTGTGAAGATATGCTGGATACACCGCCAAATAGAGAGCAGGCGGCTAACGGACAGCCTCTTAGCAATCCGGTACCGAGTTTGCCCGCACCAAGGAGAACGTTGCGGCTATCATGCGCGCTAAGCAGGCTGCTGGTAAGTCGTCCCTCTGCCTGCCACGTATCTGCTGCGTTATCGCAATGTGTGGATGCAGACGTGGCGTTGTAGAATATCTGTGCTGACATCCACTATAGCTGAGGCAAAGAAGGCTGAAACTGCCAAGAAATGAGCAGCTGCAAGCGCGCTGTGGCACCGATTACAGCAGCAACTTAGACAGCCCCAGTTATTGAGCAGCGGAGTTTTACGGAAAAGGCATTGGCGGGTTATGAGTTACGGGTGTTGGTGAATTGCTTGGATACCAAATACACTGATTTTTGATTTTGCAATGTTGTGATGTTAACGTCCCTCGCTGTGTGCTGGGACACCCTGTGTGCTGGGACCCGAACATCCTTTTCGCATCCTAACTCTCTTCCCCCTCTACATTTAGAGTCACACTTAGCGTCTTGTTATTCTTCAGACATTTAAACCTAAAACTCTAGCTAGCAGCAGCAGCAAAATTACAACGATGCTGATTGTGTTGTTGATTATTCTGTTCACCGCGTATAACCCCGCTCTATCTTTACACCCTATACAGCCGCCGTTATTAACAAATCTTCGAGCGTCGATGCATTGAGAAAATAGCCTTGTTAAGTGAGATTATTTTCCTTAACTTAGAAATCACTTTATCTATCTGAGTGTACAATGCAAGTTCTTCCGGAGTGAGAGGCAGGTTAAGTGTCTTAGCAGAATATCTTAGCGCGTTTATGTGACTCTGTATTAAAATGTATACTATGCTAGAAACGATTGAGCTGTGGTGTTCTTCTTGAACCTTCTAGCTAGTATCACGTGCGAGTTATTTTAGGCATATTCCCTGGGGTTTCTACGGCATGTTACGTGCGGGCTATCCTCGGGACTGGGCCGCTCTCGCCGTTACGTTGAGGATGCGTAGAGGCAGTAACCAGTCACCCTACGCATCACCACATCCGCGATCACAGACCAGGCCAGCCAGGCGCTAGCAGAAGTTATCTCTGCAGGCGATTCTACGTCGTACCGTGCAGTTTCAGAGAAGAGCAGTGTTCCCCGCTCTACGCTCCATCGTCGTAAACACGGAGAAGCGTCGATAGAGCTTAAGACCCAAAGCTAGTAATACCTTACCCTAGACGAGGAGAAAGCTATAGTTAGGTTTTTGTTACTAATGTCTAGTCTCGGGCACCCTGTACGAATTAAATATAACGTGACGGATAAGCCAGTCGGTCAGGCAAGCGAGTCGGTCACCTCACCAACTTTGCGCACCTCTGCGGGCATATATCTCAACAACATAATAGTATAATAAACATAGATTAACAGTGTGAGTTAATTAGTACTAGTACTATCTTTCTTACA